TCTGTCAGGCCAGTTTTACCAATGAGAAATTAGGCTCAAAGGCATTCTTGGCGTGTTTTCTTTCCTGACTGGCCTGGGCGCTCACAGGAGCGGATCTGATGAATAAACTTCTCCTCCAACTCGAATGCTTTAAACTTACCCATTAGCACAAACACCTTTGGCCAGTTCTTCTGCAACACAACAACCTCTAAGGATGGAAATGCGGAATACTGGTGTTATCACAGGAGACTGAAAGTGGGCATTGATGCCCCACATTGGCCGTACCTGCACAACTGCAAATGATGTCGTCCACAACATGAATCCTGATCTGGCAAGACGCCTCGGGATGGCAGGTGTGGTGGCCGTGGGGTCTGCACCTTGCCTCAGTGTTTCTGAGCACAGCATCCTTCCCAGGGGCAAGATGGACGCTGCTTCCGTGTGCTGGCGATTTCTACAGAGCTCTGTTATGACTTCTCTAGTAATTTCCAAGAATACAGATCTGTTGTGTCTGCACTGCATTAGGAGAACGTGAGTGAGTCTGGTTTTATTGCTAATTAAAGTAATTAAAACAATCAGGGCTCCATCCCAGTCAGCAGCTTGGGGAAATTGAGAAAAGCTTTTCTCAGGTGACTCATGGCCAAACAGACACAATGTTCCCCAAAGCTTCATAAACTCTCCTCAAATAATCTATGAGGTGCTTACAACAGGCAGCTCTTGGCATGGTCTCGGGTCCCTGTCAGAGGCATGGCTGGGGTGGGAGGTGGCCAGGGCACAGCTGTGTGGAAGGAGATTCCTAGCAGGCCCTGGCTCCTGCCCAGGCTTGCCGAGGGTCTGCCTTGAGAATGACTCTGCCTTTAATGAGCTGGTCTGGCCCTGCACTTCCCTAGTCATCATAATTCACACCATCACGCTCAGCCAGCAGAGTCCAAAGGCTCTGAGAGAAAGCCTCGTGGGGACTTCCTGGGTTCTGAATTCGCATTCCCGTCCCATACCTGGCTCATGAACCCAAGGCCCTGTTCTGTGTCTCAGTTACAAAGAAGAGCGTCGCTGTGCTAGATGGAACCCAAGCAGTCCGCATGGCTCATGGCAGGCGGGTGGTCCAAAGGGGGCTTCACTTTGAGGCAAAAAAGGAGCACGTACCAGAGACGGGGTGGCCATTGCTGAGGGCAGACCCTTCAGTGCTCTGGGGCTGCAGTGGGGTCGGGGGTGGGAAGTGGAGTGCCCAATGGCTTCTCCTGCCCCCCAGGGCTCTGAGGAGCATCCCCGAGGCACTCGCTTTTATGGATTGTCACTATAAAAGCCTTTCAGTCATATCCCACCCGGGGTTGGGCATGGGGTTCAGAGTCTACAAGAGACTCACTCTTGTCCCCATATTTCCCACCACCTCAGCATCAAGGAAAAATTCATCTTCACATTCTTTTCTCCATTCTTGGCCATTTCCGCATAGAGATTGTCGTGAGTAAGCGCAGCGTCCCCAACTGCTGGACAGAAGAGTCAGGAAAAGGTGAGAAGTCCTGGCGAGGCAGATGCAGGAGGAGGGGAGCCTGCCTGATTTGCATTTTCTCAGGTCTATCTATTTCTCCTGATGCCTTGCTTTTGGGAGGGCAGAGAATGAGGAGGAGAAAGTATCTGGAGGGAAACCCAGGAGGCTCTTCCTTCTGGTCCATTATAGGGCTTCAGCCCATGTGCCCAGTCTCCAGTTCCACGGCAATGCAATGTTTAAGAGCTTGGGTTTTGGGGTCAGACAGACCTGGGTTCTTTTCCTGTCTTTGCCGGTTGTTAGCTGTGTGTCCTTGGGCAAATTCCTCAAGCTGCTAGTGCCTTGTTTCTTCTGTAACTTGGAACAATATTAATGGCCCCTGCTCCTATAATTAACCACATGTGAAAGTCTGTATCAGTTATCTGTCGCTTTGTAACAGAGCGTCCAACACCTAGTGGCTCGCAGCAACAACTGTTTGCTTAGTGCATGATTGTGGGTCCACGGCAGCTCCTCTGATCTCGGCCAGCCTCACTCACATGTCTACAACGCTGGTGGCTGGAGGGCCTGCAATGGCCTCATTCCCAGGTTATGGCGGTGGGCAGGGTGCCTGCCTCTCCTCCACATGACCTGGGCCTCAGGCAGGCAGGCTCAGGTGTGTTCCTGGGGGTCTCTGGGTTCCAAGCTCCAAAGTACAAGCTCTTTCCAAGATTCTGTTTACGTCATGTTACTCGCTTCTCATCAGCCAGCCCAAACTGATGGAGGGAGGACCTGTGAACACTTGCTGCAGTCCACAACAAGGGCTAAACAGTGTCCAGCACTTCTCATCTTCACAGAGCCTCACTGTGCATTTACCCAAGTCCAGCAGCTCCAGATCTGGGTTGGGCCCAGCAGCAGTTCTGCACGGTGGTCATGGCCTGTACACAAACTTGAAAAGTGCCGAGTTTCCAGCAGCTTGGAAGGCAACTCAGGAGTTCACAGTGGACGTGCTTTGAGGGCATCCTGCATCACAAAGGTCTGCATGGCAGACAGGAGGATGCCGTGTGAAAACCTGGACATTGACACTGAGTTGAAAGGTGACAACTTTTCTAACCCTTTGCGAGACAACAGAAATACATACAGGTCTCTGCCCACTGTTCCTGGCACAGGGCTCCTGAAACCCTCGTAAACTCCTAAGTGATAAGAGCACTAGGAGCATCTTTTGTTCTACCGAGGCAACTCTGGGTGGGCTTTTGGATGGAGGCTGGTCACCAGAAAGACCAAGCCCTGGGAATTTTCAGTCCTGCCCTCCCATTCTCCAGAGAGGAGAGAAGGGCTGGAAATGAAGTTAATGACTGATCATGCCAACATGATGAAGCCTCCATAAAAATCCCAAAAGTATGGGGTTTGAGGAGCCTCCATGTTGGCAAACACGTCCACACCAGGAGGAGACACACCCCAGCTCCACAGGGACAGACCCGTGCTCGGGAGCCTCCCAGACCTTGCCCTGTGGATCTCTTCATCTGGCTGTATCTTTTATCATATTCTTTAAAAAACTGGAGAACCTAAGAGTTTCCCTAAGCTCCATGAGACGCTCTGGCAAATTTATCAAACCCAAGGAGGGGGTTGTTGCCAAATCCGCAGAAGTTGAGGGTAATCTGGTGACCTACTACTTGGAATTGGCAACCGAAGTGGGGGCAGCCCTGTGGGATCTGATGCTACCTCTGGGTAAACAGTGTCAGAACTCAGTTGAACTTTAGGACATCCAGCTGGTGTGTTGCAGAGAACTGCTGGGTGGGGAAAACTTCCACACTTTGGCGAGGAGAAGTGTCAGAAGTGAGGTGTTCTGCGGAGGAGTAAGGCGACTCCAGGAGAGACTCACATTGGAAGGAAGAACTGAGTTTTCCCTACTCAGGAAAACCAGGTTGTTTTCCTAATTCACTCTTCTTCAGAGGAGCCAGAGAACCCTGGACACCTCGCGCACCGTTTTTCACGTATGTTTGTCTTTTCATGTACGCATAAAAGTGACAGATGGTAAAACTTGTCTGAACAATCTAAAGGAGCTCTTTCAGCTTGAGGCAACAAGAAAGCCGTGTCATCATTGAACATCTACAATTGACTCTCAGGGGGAGTGAGGGCGTCAGCCTGCTGTCCCTGCCAGTGGTCCATCCCAGGGAGAGCCCCACAGCCCTCTGTCCACGGCTGGCTCCCCCGCCGGGGTGGAGTGTGCATCAGGCTTGGAGGCCTCAACCCTTCTAAGCTTAAACTGCCCTTGCCCTAACTTTTCGAAAGATGTGTTTTGTATTCTTTTATGAGATAGTCACAAGAAGAGACGCAGAAGACTCAGGAAAAAACAAGTTTCTTACGTTCACAAGCCCCAGGGCCACAGGGGACGCACCACGGTGGCCAGAGGGCAGAAGTTGAGAGGGGAAGGTTGAAGTCACGGCCTTTACTGGCGTTTCCACAGGACTGGCTGGTGTGCTAACTCGGGAGGGCTGTGGGCTGCAGGGCTGGTCTCCACTGGCCTGCACCCCGCCCTGGGGTGATTAAGGCGGAGGTATATTGCCTCTGGGGTTTGGGGCCAATGCAGGAGGTCTGGCTCTGGACTGGTAAACCTGCAGATGAACGGAAAGCTCCAGGGCCCTTCCGTCTCAAGACTGGGTGAGCCCCGGGAGACAGCCACAAAGGCCTTTCAAGATGTGAAAGCATCATAACATACAGAAAATAAAATACATAACTATTCAGTACAAAATCTGTACTCGCACAGCCACGAAGACGCACGACGACAGCTGCGCACATGACGGCTCCGACACACGTCACACGGAGGGAAAGACCCGAACCACAGACCAACACAGCGAGCCCGTCCGGAGGCCCCTTCTCGGCGCCGGACACCCGCGCGCTCGGCCAAACGCGGGGCCGCGCCCCCACGCCGCCGGCCCGCACCACGCCGCCCACACCGACACCAGGGCGAAGTGAGAGCCGGCTCTCGGCGCCTTGCCAGCCGTCCCCCGCCCCCGGGCCCTCTCCGCGCGCGGCCGCGGACGGCGCCCTCAGGCCGCAGCTGCCGTCCTCGAAGTTGGCGTGAGGCGGGCTCCGGACGGCTCTAAGGGGCGCGTCTCCCGGTTCGAGTGTCTCGGGCCGTTTCCTTCCGACCGGCTCTGCGCCATCCCCGCGGGAGAAACGCGGAGGGGGCGCCACGGCGCTCTCGCACGCGACGCCGTTCGGAACCGCCCGCTAACCCGCGGCATCAACCTGAGAAGACCGCGATCGGTGCCAGGCGCCCGGCGCTCCTGCCACCACCAAGATGGCCGCAACCCGCCTCCACCAAGATGCCCTCACCAAGCTGGCCCCGGCGCGGGGCCTCAGGGTACGTGCGCCTGGCCGCAGCCAATGGGCAGGCAGCGCGGGCCGCAGCCAATGGGAGCGTGCGCCTGGCCGCAGCCAATGGGCAGGCAGCGCGGGCCGCAGCCAATGGGAGCGTGCGCCTGGCCTCAGCCAATGGGCAGGCAGCGCGGGCCGCGGGCCGCGCGCCGCGCGGGGCCGCAGGGACAGAAGGGCTCTGGGCATGTCGGACTCCCGGGTGCAGGGCGCCGCTTCGGGCCGCGGGCCCGGGGGCCGCAGAAGGGCGTGGAGCGAGCTGCTCGGTAGGTGGGCACGGGGGCCCAGGAGTGGGCGGCGCCGGTCCCCGAGACCTTTTCTTGCCCGAGCCTGCGCTGGCCGGACCCGGCACACCGTCAGCGGGCAGGCTGCCTTCAGCCCACGCCGGTCCCCGACTCCCGGCCCCTCCTCGCCCCTCCTTCTTCCCCACTCGACCCCCAGCCCCTCCTCGTCCCTCCCGACCCCAGCTGCCCCACCGCGACCCCCTGCCCCTCCGTCTCCCCCCGCCTTCCGGCCCCTCCTCGTTCCCCCGACCCCTCCTGGCCCCCCATCTCAGGGCCCTGGCCGGGCTGCCCACCCCAGCCGTCCCTTGTCCAGCCGCCCTCCGTCAAACGTGGCGTCAAGAAAGGCTGTTCTACGAAGTGGGGCCTTAAGATGTCCCCCACGCGGGGCCCTGGGGCTGATGACAGGACGGGTTCGGCTCTGCTGGCCCCGGAGCCGCATCACTCGCCGAGGGTCGTTCCCGGGGCTCTCAGTCGGCGCGGTGCTGCTGACCGACCTGCACTCCGCGCGGTCGCACCAGAGTTCCCCACCACGTCCTTTTCTGTCCTAGGTCCAGTTGCATGTCCTCGCTCTGTTTCCTTGGTTCTCCACGGGGACAGTTCCCCGCTCTTGTCTTTCCTGACCTGGACGCAGGAGGCGCACTGGCCGCGGTTATATAGAGGGCTCCTCTGTTGGGTGTGTCTGAGGTTTCCTCGTGGTTAGACTGAAGTTGTGCGTTTTTGGCAGGAATCCCACGGAAGTGACGTGTCCCGGGGTCATCACGTCAGGGGGCCAGGACGTCCCGATGTCCCTTACATGAGTGTTTAAAGAACGCTGTGATTTTTTGAACTGATTTTCCCTTTTAGCGGGAAGGGTCAGACGGCAGGAGCGCAGCCCTGGAAGGGGACAGAAGTTGCAGGAGTCAGCGGTGCTCCTCCTAAGAAGCCACCTGGACTGGAGCCACCTGCTGCTCGAGGTGAGAGGACGTTGGTGTGGCCTCTGCCGGCAGGTTCAGGCTAGGGGTTTTGAACCCAGCTTGTGAAGAGACACCTGGAGAGCCTCCTGAGTGTCTGGCAGAAGCACCTGTTAAATGCTGACTGACCAAAAAAATTGGGAGCATTTATCTTTTTGAAGATAAAAGAAGTTCAAAAACAAATTTAGAAATTCTGGAAATTTCTAAATTAGTAAGTTTCGCTTTTTAAAAATGTTTTGCCTCAGGCCGCCCCGTGGCTTAGCGGTTGAGTGCCCGCGCTCCGCTGCTCGTGGCCGGGGTTCGGATCCCGGGCACGCACTGACGCACCGCTTGTCGGGCCATGCTGAGGAGGCGTCCCACATACAGCAACTAGAAGGATGTGCAACTACAACATACAACTATCTACCAGGGCTTTGGGGAAAAAATAAATAAAATTATAAAAAAAAAAATGTTTTGCCTCAGAATATTAGAGAATAGCGCAGGAGGCAAGCATTACATACACACAGGTTGTTTTTATGCACACACAGCTTGAGTTTTAAAAATGGATTCTTTGTGTTTGGTTTCTAGGTAGAAGGTCCACCACATAAAAAATTGTGTCTCGGCTCATGGATTGATCACGATGTTCCTGAGGCCTGCACTCATCTTTCTAGTTCGCTCATAGGTGTGTTAGAGTTTCCTTTTCTTAATGTATTGAGTTGTGGAAGACGTTTATTTGAAGTGACCTTGACTTGTTTATAATAAATTTAAACTCTCTCAGATAATGATCTTCAACTTACATGTATAGTCAGGACATACAAGTCATGTCTTTGTGACCTGGTTGGTGCTTGTGAGGCTGTTATTTTAAAACAGTGTTTGACTCAACATGGGGCTCAGAAGCTGTAGGAACCAAAGTGTCCCCTGGAAAAACCTGGGACGGTAAGGTGTGCCCCATTCATGGAAGGAGTGAAAACCGTGTGCTGGGTGGGGGAGGTCAGGCAGGAAACCAGAATAATGTTTCTAGGTGCCCAACCCCAATTTGAGAATATGAGATGGGGAAATTCTGTTATTAATAACGGAAGAATAAATAAGTTATTTTCTGGTCATTCATATTTTTATTATGTAATGATTGTCATGTCAGAAAGAGATATTAACTCATTAATTTGTTTTAAATTTCTATTAAAATACTTTAAACAGTGGGCTCACCTTTTTTTTTTTTGCTGAAGAGGATTCGCCCTGAGCTAAGATCTGTGCCAGTATTCCTCTATTTTATTTTATTTATTTATTTATTTTATAATTTTTTATTTATTTATTTATTTTTCTCCCAAGGCTAGTTGTATAGTTGTATGTCACAGTTGCACATCCTTTTAGTTGCTGTATGTGGGACGCGGCCTCAGCATGGCCGGAGAAGCAGTGCGTAGGTGCGCGCCCGGGATCCGAACCCCGGGCCACCAGTAGCGGAGCGCGAGCACTTAACCACTAAGCCACGGGGCCTGCCCAGTATTCCTCTATTTTGTATGTGGGCCACTGCCACAGTGTCCCCAATGAGTGGTGTAGGTCCGTGCCTGAGATCCAAACCCGTGAACCTGAGCTTTTGAAGTGGAGCATGCCAAACTTAACCACTACGCCACGGGGCTGGCCTAGGCTCGCCTTGATAACTGATCACTAAAGGTCATTGGTCAGTGATAATTGATTTTTACTGCCATAATTGCATTTGAATTTCACAAATTATGCATCATTATTCCAGGAAACTAAGGTCAGCCACACACTTTCTTGTATGGACTTTTATAAGAGCTTATATAAGGAGCTCTTAACCTTGACCACAGAAATATACACCCTTAATTTATGAATTTTTTAGTTGTTTTTCCTGCTGAAGATAGTGGCTACCATACTTATTCATATTTAGGTAATATTCATATTCAAAAAGGTAAATAAAAACAGAAATAAACTTTCCCATGGAGATAAATTGGAAATAAATGGCTAGAAATCAGCATTTTCTACCTTTCTACCATAAATTATTTGACTCTAGTACTTGGTAATTTGTAATATTATCATTTGGAACCTTTGTAATTATTGCAAGTGTTTTCACTTATATATTGGTATGTGTTTTCAGAGCCTTGAAGATAATGGGCATGTGCTACAGTCTTCTGTTTTAAAAAAGAAATTAATTTTGGAAGTCAAATAAATTAGAAAACAGTTTGCTTGTAGGCATTTCCTATTTCTAGGCTGCCCATCATTTCTCACTTTATTGAATGCAGACCAGAGGCTGGTCACTCAGGAGGCCTGTGGGCCCAGCACCCAGGTTCTACCTGGCAGCCCAAGGACTGAGCAGACCTGTGGCCTCCACTGCCCACCAGGTGCGTGGCATAGCATTGGGAAACCAGACCCAGTTTCCACTCATATGTTAATGTAAAGTTGACGGGAGCAGGTCTGTCTTGGACACTGAAGTAATTAGAGAAACAGGAATTTGTTAAAAGAGTTCTCAATTTATTGTGCTCCTCTGGAAAAAAATTGATGAAGTTCTTAGGTTTTATCTGCCAAGCTCCTTTGTTTGTGTCACACAAAACACACATGTGTATTTGCAACGAGGAGCTTCAGATGTTGGCCCTGATCGTCTCATGAGCTGCTTTAGTCATGAAATTGTCTTAATTTTATACCTCGTGTTTTTCCTTCTAGATCGATTGTCCCCTTCAAAGGCAATTTTCTGTGGTGCTACAACTTAAAAGGAGGCATTGTAAACTGCAAGTCTTTTACTTTAGATTTTGTAGTGTGTCTCCCATGTTTTGTCTTTAAGGCTCTGCTTTGCGGGATCACGCCTCACTGCTGGGAGTTCCAGTGGCCGTCTTGTCCAGCCAGATGGTTGCCTCCAGCATTGTGCGGATATGTGAGGCAGAGGCTGAGCATGCTCACAGGGCACTGCTGGACTCGGTGCAAAGAGTAAGATGCTGCACAACAAGGAAACGGTGCTACTCATTACATTTAAGCTGTTTGGGAAAATAGGACATTTCTTTAGTATTGTTTCAGGTTTTTGCCTATTTTTTTAAAAAGATTTACTCTCTCTTTTCAGAAGAAACTGTCTTCCTTGATAGAGATTGCTCAGTATTTATTAGCACACAGTATGTTCTCCCGTCTCTCCTTCTGTCAAGAATTATGGAAAGTACAGGTAAATTTCCGATTGTAGGAAAGTGTTACTATAAGTAACAATGTTCTGTTGATTTGGGTTGAGCCAACAGAATCCCTAGGTTTCCTTAGGAATTCCACCAAGCTTCTCATTAATTACAGAGAGTGGGGGAAAAAGGCGTTCAGCAAATGCCTCTGTGGATGGGAAAGAAATGCCCTCAATTATATTTGTCAATATGTGCCCATCATTAGTAATGTTTATTAGAATAGAACATACCACAGAAACATGACGCTCTGCCTTCTTAGGTATATTATTATGAACAATTTTCCAGGGCAGTGTAGTACACTAGAAGAATATAATTTAAAAATTATTCTTATCTGTTTTTTGAAGCATTTTGAATTCAATAGGTTTATAGATTTTTAAACAATTGAAAGAACTCAACGTAACTGGTTATTAAAAGAGATCAGTGAAAGATCTATATATATAGATCTTTCTATATATATATATATAGAAAAAGGAAAGAAACAACCAAGGTGATGGTACATTCATGATTTTCCCCCATTCTTTTACCCAGGCTACATTATAGAGTTCAGTTGATTTGTGAGGTGTTGGTATGGTCCCTGTGCTCACTGATAACTATCTAGTTGGGGGAAGGGGCAGCTAAATGCACATGAAATGCAGTGATATAGGTGTTCACAGGTGTGCAGAGAAGAGTGGGCGACTATCTGATTGGATGGTTCCAAAAGGCTTCCTAGAAAAGCCAGAAGTTGCATGGATTGTGGAGGAAGAGAACGAGTTGGCTGGGTGACAGGGAGGACATAGTAGGCAGTGGAAGATAGATCGGACTTGAGCAAGTTGTCTGAGGGGATTGGTGTGTGTCTTTGCTCCAGGAGGGAGAGCTTCACTGGGAGAGGATAGAAGGAGAGAGATGGAGGCCAGATCACAAAGGGCTATGCCATGTTGAAGAGTCTGGACTTTGTCCTGAAAGCTGTGAGGAACCACTGAAGGACTAAAGAGGAGAAGAGATTGACATGTCCAGTTTATATTTTGGAATCATGTGTTGGGCCTATGGAGAAAGTCCTAGAAGTGTGGTTAAGCTAGGGACTGGACAGGGCGCATGTCTGAGCCTTTGAGGAAGCAATGGTGGTGGGATGCGGGAGGAGATGAAACATGGTAATGCTGAGTGTCTGAGACTTGGTGAGTTTTAAAACCACAGTGGACGAAATATATATTTTAGGCTGTGCTTGTTATTCCACTTTAATTTTCAGTAGAGCATGATGGTTAAGAACACAAGCTGAACATTTTGTAGGAAAATGCGTGCATAAAGGACTCATAGTACTGTTGTTTTCTTTAGAATTCTTTATTGCTTGAAGCTCTGTGGCATCTTCATGTACAAAACATTGTGAGCCTCCAGGAGCTGTTGGAAAGGTAGTATACAGCGATAATTTAATGTTACCTTAATATTACATGATTTATTTTTTTGTAGTCTAGAATCACTTATTTATATATCAAAGCCAAAAATCACCTGGAGAAACTATTACTTTATTAAAAGAGAACATTTGTTATAATTGAACTCCTTATCATGCACAGACTTGGTAATTTTTTTCGTGTAAGATGTATCGTGATAAAATATTAAAAACTGAAAAAGAGACGTTTAGGTAAATATGGTTGATAGAATGTGTGCAACTACTTTTATTCCTTCCTGAAATCCCATCAAGAGTCAGAAAAGAGATTTTATAAAATACATAATCCCATAACGATGGAAGAGGAAGCAGGAGGCAGATGGACCAGTGGTAAATGACGTAGCAAACTTGAGAAAGACTTGTCCTAAGCCAGCAGTGCAGAAAGAAGAGAACCAATCCAGTTTATTCTCTTTCTTCCTGAAAGACTGAAGAGTTGATGGCAACTAGAAGGATGTGCAACTATGACGTACAACTATCTACTGGGGCTTTGGGGAAAAAAAAGGAGGAGGATTGGCAATGGATGTTAGCTCAGAGCTGGTCTTCCTCAGCAGAAAGAGGAGGATTAGCATGGATGTTAGCTCAGGGCTGATGTTCCTCACACACACAAAAAAAATCCTACACTCTTTTGTGATAATGACTCAATGAACTAGGAATAGAAGGTAACTTCCTCAGCCTGATAAAGGTCATCTGTGAACAACCCACAGCTAACATTATAACAATGAAAGACAAAAGGCTTTTCCTCCTAAGATCAGGAACATTGTTGATACTTCTATTCAACATTATTGGAGTTTCTAGCCAGGGAATTAGGTGAGAAAAAAGGCATCCAGATTGGAATGGAAGAGGTAAAACTGTTTGCAGATGACTTGATCTTGCATATAGAAAATCCTAAGGAATCCACACCAAAAAGTATTAGAGCTAATATATGAATTCAGCAAGGTTGCAGGCTACAAGATCAATATACAGAAATCAATTGTATTTTTATATGGTAATAATGAACAATTTGAAAATGAAATTAAGAAAATAATTCCATTTAAAAGAGCATCAAAAAGAATAAATTAGTAAAGCTAAAGAGCTGCAAAACTTGTACACTGAAAACTATAAAACATCATTGAAAGAAATTAAGACTTGAATAAAAACATTCCATCTTTATGGAATGGAAAATTTAATACTCTTAAGATGGTAGTACTCCCTCAAAACGATCTACACATTGTCTTTTCAACAAATGGTGCAGGGACAACTGAACATCTATACGTAAAAGAATGAAGTTGGACCCCTACCTCACACTACATGCAGCAGTTAACTCATAATGCATCAGAGACCTAAATGTAAGAGCTAAAACCATAGAACTCCTAGAAGAAAATCTAGGGGTAAATCTGCATTGACTTTGGATTAGGCAATGGTTTCTTGGATAAGACACCTAAAACTCATGCAGCAAAAGGAAAAATAGATCAATTAAGCTTCATCAAATTTTAAAACTTGTGCGTCAACACTATCTAGACAATGAAAAGATAATCCACAGAATGGGAGAAATTATTTCCAAATCATATATCTGATCTAGTCTCTAGCATAGATAAAGAACTCTTATACCGCAACAGTAAAAAGACAAATCATCCAATTAAACAATGGACAAAGGATCTCGATAGACATTTCTCTAAAGACAGACGAACGGCCAAGCACATGAGAAGTTGCTCAGCATCGTTAGTCACCAGAGAAATGCAAACCTGACATGTGAGAACGTGAGGGCCCTCCCGCATCACTGCTCCTGCTCCCAGATCTAGGCTTTGCAGGTCGCATGATGCTTCTTCGTGGCCAATGCCCTTGAGGACAACCTATAGTCCATAACTGCTGCCATCTGTTAAATTGTCTCTAATTACTTTATTATTGCTGACCTTTCTTTTTTCCCCAACATTAACAAGCTACTCCAAATAAATAAATGATTTGAAAATGATTATTTTTAACGTCAGTCACAGCCGTCCCTGACACCTGTTGTGTCATCTGGCCCCGTTGTGACTTCTTGGGGCACAAAGGCTCAGACAGTTGCTAGTTCATTGTCAGTGGCCCAAGCTTCCTAGTGAAATGAGTGTGAAAGAAAATGGCCCGATGGAAAAGAACGATGAAGTCAGGGTAAGCTGTGTGCTTGTGTTCCCAGCCATGCCGACCTGCAGGCCGTGGTTGCATGGCTTTTCAGGAACCTGCGCCTTCTATGTGAGCAGATAGAAGCGTCCTGTCAGCACACTGACATCGCCAGGGCGATGCTTTCTGGTAAGTTCACGACAGAGGCGAGTGCCTGGGTAAAATTTATTTAGATAGTGGGGATGCTTTTTGTCTGACGATCTATGGGAAGCAGAACAGTCTCCTATACCCGTGGCGTGGAAATCGAATATGAAATCATCTCAATCCATACCTGTTGTTGTGCGTTTGCATTTAACTTGAATTGTGTGGAAATTTTGGTAAGTCAGCCTGTTGATGTGTTGTGTTGGGGGGGCCCCCCCGTAGCTGGTGTGTTAAGTTGAATATGTGCAGATTATGACCTGTGAATGAGGCGGCACAAGCCACCCACACGAGGTGGGCCGGTAGCTCCCTCAGCATCTGAATTCCCACTTTGGGGAAGTAAAAACCCTGGGACTGTTTTTATTGAAGGCGCAGTTTCAGTACACTCACACAAAGGAAGTAAAGTCACAAGATTTATTACTGACACATCCCAGAATTGAGGGGGAGCAATGAACTGGGGGAAAGGGCAGTCCTCTGCCCTAGGTGGAGAGGGAGCAGGGCAGCAAGCACCTGTTACTTATAAGGTGGTTGGGGTGGAGGTCACTAATTTTTGTGGGCTCAACTCTGAGTGGTCATTTTAAAAGGTGCCCCGAGAAAAGCAGAGTGGGCACTTGTGGGCATCCTAAGCTCAGGTCCTTTTCTAAATGTCCAGACTGTGGGTGTGAGCAGGGTTGTCACACTTTAAATGCAGAGGCAGCAACTTAGTGTAGCTGTTTTCTCATTACACCTCTGTGTTTCTGGGCACCTTTCTCTTAAGTGGGCCCCAGCCCTTGCTGCTCTGAGCCAGGAAACCCTGCCATTGCCAGAACCCCTGAGGAATGAAATCCACAAATAAATGAAAAGTTAGATGAAAAGTGGAGTGCTCCATATAGGCATCTTGTGGATTTTTTTCCTTTGCAAAAGAGGCATTTTTTTTTTCTTAATACTTTCTTGGTGACATGAGCTACTTGTGATTCATGAATCCTGTGATCTGGTCCCAGATAGTTTAAGTTCAAACTGAAGATTAGACAGAAAATCTTTTTAATTTCCGTCCTCTTGATTCTGATCTTCTCAGAAGATATGAGTCCATTTCCTGCCTCACTCCCAGAATGTTATGCTTCCAGGTCCTAGTGGTCCTTGTATTTCTGGCATAGGGGACTGGCTGGAGAGAAAATCAACAAGGAGCCCATAGAGGCTGCTTTTTTGTTTGCTTTAAGAGAGCATAAACTTGATTGATTATAAGTATTTCCTTTTCAAATAGAATGACAGGAGGAAAAATCGGGTGCAGTAAGGGATTTGGTTGGTGGGATTTAGTGAACACTTGTGTGAGGTGGTCACGTGGGTGGTAACCTATGCAGGGGCTCCCAGGCCCGGAGCAGGCTGTCCTGACAGCCCACGTGGTCCTCACCCTTCCAGTCCCTCTGAGGCCAGTAGTGTGTGAAATTCACAGCTATTTGGAGACCACAGTGTATGTAAATACTTTGGTTTTGTGGTTTTCAGATTTTGTGCAAATGTTTGTTTCGAACGGATTTCAGAAAAACTCGGATCTGAGAAGAAATGTGCAGCCTGGACAGATGCCCCAGGTAGGAGGAAAAGTCAAGTGCAAGTTCGCAGAATTGGCCTCATGAAAATGTGCTGCAGTGTAAAGGGCAGTCCCCATCCCAAGTTTTCAGGGCAGTCCCCATCCCAAGTTTTCATTCTTTTTTGGAAGTTCCTCGACCAGTGGGTAACACTTTGACCCACGTTACAGTTTATAAGCTTTTAGTGAGGAAATCTGTTTTGTTATCATGAGATGCTCCCTGAGTAATATTGCTCCCTACATCCAGTGGATGTGAGGAAATGGAAATAGGCAGTAATGTGTCCCCCAGCCTGTCTTCTGGTTTCCAAAGCTCTTGAGGGTGGAGATCATCACTGTGGTACAGAATCTGGGCCTGTGCTATTAGACCAGAGAGAAGGGAGAGCTCTTCACTGGGTACGAGCTGAGAGAGCGTCAGCAAAACTCTTCTGTGCTGACATTCACCAAGCTCAAGCCAGACGCCATGGGAGCCCAGCAGGATGCGGCCAGAGCCGTGGGCCTGGGTGTCTCGGGCCATGCTGAGAGCTGTTTCAGGATATCACAACGAATACTTCCAGAAAGTCTGCCTTTCCGCTCTGTCTGGGTCTCCTCAGTGTTGGGATAATATTTTACCTCAGGAAATCTTAGAAGTGGACCTCTTTGTAAAGTCAATTTCTATTTGACTTTGGAGTAATAACTAGTTTTCTTATGTGGTGCTTGTGTGTGACTGGTGGTAACTTATGTTCTTTTTTGACAGGTCGCTGTTGCTGTACTTGAGAGGATGCTGATCTGTGAGTCAGTTGCTCTGTGCCCCATACTGGAAATGACTTAGTTTACTTTTTGGAAATTTTCACAATTGTTTGCCTTTCCATTTTGAGTATTTGACCTGTTGGTGTATTTCACCCTCTAGAGTCCTGGTACTGGAAAACCCCCCTTTTTGGGTGTAATTTGGTGTAAACTTACTCTCACTTTTTTCTCCTGGCTTTCAGTTCTCGGTGGTTTCACATTTAATCTCTAGAGCTGCAAATGGTAACCAGTTTAACGGTTACTTAGGGAAACACTTGATGGTCTACATATTTTGATAGAGTTTAAAGGTGTAATTCTTTTGTACCACTGAGATGCTTGGAAGCTTAAAGGACTTGTACCCCCTGGGGGTCTAGGAGGCCTAGGAGGTCTGTAACTTGGGAATTGAGGGGATCTTCCCAAAGATCCATTGGACTTGTCCAAAAATACTTCATTGGGGATCGTTTCTGATGGACTGTGACAGTTGTGCTGTGTCTCTGTTCTGTTCTCATGTTGTCATCAGTGGCACTTGAAGCTTTGGATGCTGGCCTGCAGGAGGAGTCCCCAACGCACAAGGCAGTGAGGTGCTGGTATGTTCCTGGGGGCAGGCCTGCGGGCATGCTCGGGGTGGTTCCTGCTAAGTTTGAGGTCCTAGGTATTTCAGACACTCACGAGGTATCAACAGCTGACTCCCACGCACACTGTCTCTTCCATTGTGATAACGTCAGGAGAGGGCGATGGCTGGAAAGCACTAGGAACCCTCTAGTCCACCTGCTTCCTTTGAAGATGAGGCAGGAGGCTGGGCCCTCTTTCTGCAGGAATCACCTGCCACCTCTGGGTCTGCACTCCTGGTCTGAGGGGATGGGCCTGTTCCTCTAAGCCCAGACTCCTAAGGGTCGTGGACCCCTCTTCCCACCCAGAGCAACCTCATTATCTTGGTGCTCTCCCTTGTTTTTTTCTTGTGAGGAAGACTAGCCCTGAGCTAACATCCGTTGCCAATCCTCCTCTTTCTGCTGAGGAAGGCTGACCCTGGACTAACATCTGTGCCCATCTTCCTCCACTTTATATGGGACGCTGCCACAGCATGGCTTGACAAGCGGTGCATCAGTGTGCACGCCCGGGATCTGAACCTGCAAACCCCGGGCCTCTGAAGCAGAGCGCACGCACTTAACCGCTATGCCACCGGGCTGGCCCCATGGTGATCTCCCTTGTGCCTGCCCTCTCAGGCCCCTTCCACGGGGCTTTCTAGAACGCACAGCTGTTAGTCATCTTTCCATTGAACCCTTCACCTGCTCTCCAAGGCTCTGGCTTGGATTCACCAGTAGTCATGGTTCTGCCATATTTGCTTTCTCTCCATGGCTCTGTGGAGGTACATTTTGTCATAACTTGTAGGGTGGACCTTGAGGTGTCAGGGTTTGCTTCAAAGTAGTGTGGGATGACGCTGACCTGGAAGGTTGGCTGTCTTCTGGGAAGCCAGGAGAATTCCCCAGCATTTCCAGATCTTGTAAATCTTTCCGTTCGTTAATTCTTTTGCTCCTGATTGCCTGTACTCCACGACTACTTTAATAGTCCTCAAATGTGCTAATTCGGTATTTTATTTGAAGTGTATAAAACATTGCTTTGTTCTCTAAATTTTATGCATGTTTATAATATGCCTGACTAGATTGCTCAAACTCACGTCGCGAGAGTCAGGTAATGACTGTCAATCTGTTTGGTTTTCTTTGTTAAATTTTTAATTAGTTGCCAGTACTTACAATAAAATCAGACATCCCCTAACAGTCTGAGTGGCCAGCCTCTCTGGCCCAATGGGGCTTAGCATCCTGGCCCTGCACCCTGGGGACGGCCAGCCCCACGTCATCCCTCTTACCCAGCTTTTCCTCGTTGCATGTGTGACTCTGGAACAGGTCACATAACTGCTGGGACCCTTGGTTTTCTCCCCTGAGGAATCAGGGTAGGGTTGACTGTGGCGCTGACCCTAGCACGCTGCTGTCGGCCCTGTCATCCTTCGTCCTTCTGACCTGTCAGTGACGTTCTGCTCCCTCTCAGGGATGGCCCTTTCCTTCCTCATCCTGTCACTTGACATTGGCTTCAGGAGCGGTTGCTGCATTTGAGTGCCTACATATGCCAGGTGCTCTGCTCAAGGCTTGGCGTGCCCCTGCTGTCTCTGATTCCTATTTCACAGAAGGAGAGGCTTTGCAAGGTCTTCAGTTTGCTGGAACCTGGTCCTACCATTGGCTGCAGGTTACTGTGATTGCTGCAGCCTCCCTTCGGTTCTGTGCAGGTCCAGCCCTTCCTGAGCTCTCTGTCCTGCTTTGCTCAACAGGTGTCTTCATTGCCTTTGTTTTCTTCCTTGTTGAAACTACGATTCCCTGGATTCCGTTTCAAGACTGTGGTCAGTAGCCCAGCAGAGAAAGTGTGTCCGAGTTCGAAAGGGCGAGCCTGTGGGCCCCTGAGCTGGGAGCGGCAGCTTTGCTGGACAGAAATCGCTGTGATGAGCTGTTCTTCGTGTGTGAGAATGATGCCACCAGCTAGTCCTGGTGCGTGCTGGGTGCCCAGCAGACTCTCCTCTCCTGAGAGCCTCTTTCTGATGTGTTTGCAGGTTCAGCGTGTTCAGCATACACACATTTTGCAGAACCATTTCGACAGATTCTCTAAAGAAGTTTTTCAGTCACACTCTGACTCAGATACTCACCTACAAGCCTGTGCTGAGAGGTGGGTCCCCATGCCTGGTTTGTTGGAGATGGTTGTCTGCCTGGGCCCTGCTTGATGTTAACGTTCTAAGACTCTTTGAGATCATGAAGGACATGTTATTATTAAACATCCTTCCATTTGAAAGTACACATTCTCATAAAGAAAATTTAGAATTAAAGAAATGTGGAAAAGAGAATCGTCACCCATCTCATCACCAAAATAGAAATGTCTTTATCATGAAACCTTTCTTGTGGTCTTTTCTAAATAAGTTTTTGAAAACATAGTTATACTATAAATTCCACAGTTCTATTTTCATACATCACACATTGTAAGCATCTTCTTATGTAGTTACATGGTTTTCTTAACAGTGTAATATAATACTTATGTCATCTTCTACCAATGAGTGTCCTTTGGCTGACGTTGCCATGCCTTCGACGACAGACTGTCTGTAGGTTTTCACTGTTACTAATGAGGCTGGGAGGAACACCTTGCCCACTGAGCCTTCTTTTGCAGTGGTAGATCAGCAGGGTAGGTCCTTGGAGGGGCTCCTGACAGATGCTGTGTTGTGCTTTCCGGAGGGCTTAGCGTAGCTTGTCAGTGCCTGCTCCAACCTGCCGTCCCGTCAGCAGCGTCCTCACTGACTGCTCATTGACCGTGAGAGTTTTTTTTTCTTCCCCCCAAAACCCCAGTAGATAGTTGTACGTCATAGCTGCACATCCTTCTAGTTGCTGTATGTGGGATGTGGCCCCAGCATGGCCGGAGAAGCGGTGCGTCCGTGTGCGCCCTGGATCCGAACCCGGGCCGCCAGTAGCAGAGCGCGTGCGCTTAACCACTAAGCCACGGGGCCGGCCCAGACAGTGAGAGTTTAAGAGCAGCAAAATTAAAATGTAACTGATGGATGAGAAAGTATAGCAAATATGGTAAAGGATTACCAGCAGGTAATTGGACCAAAGACACAGACATTCAATAACATAGAAAATGGTTAACAAATGGAAATTGTGAACTTCACTAAATTGAAAAAATCCAAATTGTAACAAAATAGTTTTTTGACATTAAAGCTTTAAAACAGAGCTTTTTGATGATTAGTGACATTTCTGTCTGTTTTCTCTCCTGAATGAAGTTTCTGATGCTGTTCAAATGCAGAGAGAATGGAGCTTCGCGAGGACCCACCCCCTGCTCACCAGTGTGTACCGCAGGGTGAGTGTCGTGGTGGCATTGACACCTGCCACTGCGAGTGCAAGGTGGCATCTAAGGTCTGCTTCTGTGATTCCTAGTCCTTTTAAAGAGAGGCTGGAGTCTCCACAAACTTGGCTATCCATGTCGGACCCCCTGTATAAAGGTCTAGAGACTGAACTCGTCACTTGGGAAAAGCACCTTCTCCTCAAAATGAGAATTCCTCCAGCATGTACTTACCTCTGCTGAGAGGAGAGACCCACAAATGTCCACTGTTCAAGCTCCATGTTGTGTCTGATGGGAAGTGGGATGGAGGTGGGGATCCAGTCCTGCCTGACAAGTGGCTTGCTTTAACAGCCAAGCGGGGCACTTTTGTTCCAGCTCTTTGTGATAGTGAGTCCCGAGGAGCTGATTAGCCATTTACAAGAAGTTCTGGAGACACATGAGGTGAACTGGCAGCATGTGCTCTCCTGTGTGTCTACGCTGGTGATCTGCTTACCGGAAGCACAGCAGCTGGTAAACGGTGCGCTTTGGTGGGGGCCCTGTGGTGTTCTGAGTGTGTGCGTGCGCATGAAAGCACGTGCTATTCATCTGTTGTCAGCAAAACCCCAGCATTTGTGAGTGAGCCCATTGGCGGAATCACTTGTCCATCTCAGTGAGGACGGAAGCCCTCCCTTACATGCCCAAAAGGTGCCCTGCATCCTGTTGTCTGGGCTGTCCGTCAGCCTCTCCCATGGTGCCAGCTGCTGCACTGAGATCGTGCATGCCACTGCTGCTTGTGACAGCCTCACATAGTTGTTGTCTGGCATGCTCTGATCTTTATCCAGCCTCTTGAAATGGGTGTTGGGCATGCAAATCTTCTTAACCGGAATGCTCAGTCCCCAGTGGAATGCACACATTTCGTTTCTACCAGACGCCCTCCTGTACTGGCTGTGACTATGGTTCTCGCCTAGATTGGGTGGCTCGTTTGCTGGCCCGCGCGTTCGAGAGCTGCGACCTGGATAGCATGGTCACTGCCTTCCTGGTTGTGCGTCAGGCTGCGCTGGAGGGCCCATCTGTGTTCCTGTCCTATGCAGACTGGTTCCAAGTGAGTTACCACGATTGACCAGCCGGTACTCCCAGCTAGCCATTAACACGTCCCCCCCTGACCCGCCGTCGTGAGAATGAACGTGTTCCGTGGGTCAGCTCTGCAGAGATGGCCCTGGATAAACCTCCATGCATACTTCTCGGCCTCCCTCAGGCTCTGAGCTCACTATCCAGGGGCTGGCCCCTTCCCCTGGTTGCTGCCTTGCCTGCCTGTTTGGGCCTCCTTCTCTCTCTTATGAGAAAATTCATGAGGTCAGTCAGGAAGGAGTGAAAGCAGACGTGGCCGCTTCTTACTGCAGAACACACTGAGTGCCACTGCTTTCTCGTCATTCTGGGAAGAGCACTCTCTGAGGCTTCCTGGGGTCTGCTTTCTCTTCTGTTTCCCACGTTTGTGCAGCTGTTCCCAGACCTGCTGGGTCCCAGCTTTTGAGGGGTCCCTGTGAGAGCTCTGGCCATGCCTGGTGGGGGCATCTTCCAGAGATCAGCTTTGAAGGTTGGGCATGTGTAAATTTGTCATTGAAAAAGCTATCTTAGTCTGTGTAGAAGTTTTGGGATTTCCCACCGCACCACTGGATAGAGCAATTGTTGCTTCTTTGTGGAGAGCTCACCTTCCTCCAGTTTGCAAGAGTGGCCTCACCTGCCAAGAGCCCAGCTTCTCTCTGTCTGGTGTGTTGGTGGAGGATGGGTGGTCACCGAATCTTGCTTTCTTTTATTCCCTGAAGTTCCTTCTCATCGCCCTGGGCTTCCTCTAGCTCTTGGCGGTCAGCCCACAGCTCCCCCTGGATGCACGTGGGTTGTTAGCTGTGTCCACAGTAAGGGCGCCAGAGGACTGACCCCAGAATCCACCCTAGTGCTCTCTGGGCAGGTCACACGGAGTTGACCCTCTGTCCTGTGTTTGTGTGTTCTGCATCTGCCGCGAGCTCTGCCCAGGTGATGTGGTCAGAGCCAGGTGTCCCCTAGGGCCTGCATGTGTTCAGTTCTTGAGGTGACACACAGTGGGAGAAGAATGCTTCTGAAGTGCTGCGTCGAGGGTGTTTTTTTGGTGTTATTTTTCCTTTTACTTTTTTAAATCAACTTTATTGGGGTATAATTTATATAAAATAAAATGCACCCAATTTAAGTGAATGGTTGGGTGGGTTCTGACAGATGTTTGTGTGTATGCAATGTTTGAAAATCTGTTTTAATCTTTATTTTCAAGAATGTTAACGTAAATAGACCAACGTGATGATTGCAAATTTGAGCCCTCTGGGGTCAGGAATACAGTTTTTAGCTCATCACAGTATGTACTTGGATGTAATTTTCCTAATAATGAAAAGAACTGCCTTTTTCCTGGAGTGACATTAAATGCTGTTGTAACCCCAGCTCTGGGGATGCGTGTGATTTTAGACGCTTTACATAAGTACTTTTTTTTTTTTTTTTTTTACTTATTTTATTTTTTTCCCCCAAAGCCCCAGTACATAGTTGTATGTCATAGCTGCACATCCTTCTAGTTGCTGTACGTGGGACGCGGCCTCAGCATGGCCGGAGAAGTGGTGCGTCGGTGCGCACCCGGGATCTGAACCCGGGACGCCAGCAGCGGAGCACACGCACTTAACCACTAAGCCATGGGGCCGGCCTCTACATAAGTACTTTAAATAAACCATGGATCTCCTCGGTGGCTCATTTCTATCCCTGTTTTCAGTGGATATCATTGAGGCTCACTCTTAATTGAACGGATATTGCCAAGAGTCAAGAACCTTTCCGTGCAGACAGATTGAATGGAAGGAAGTGATGCCCTTTGCACTTGGATTGGAGGGTGTAAGGTGGGAGCTGAATGGCGTTGGGGAGTCCCCTTTTTATCTAATGGCTTCTAGTGTCAGTATTCACAAGAATTACGTCGTACACTCTGAAAGAAGAGCTGTGAGTTGTGCTGGTCCCGTGAGGATCAGCAGCAGCTAACAGAGTTTTGATGGGCTATGACAGGGGGCTGGGCTTCCACATGGGCCTGGGTGGCAGGACCTTGTGTTGCTTGGGGTGGGGTATTTGGTTCTCTTTGCAGGCTCATTTGCAACATATTCAGGGCCAGCGCCTTTTAGAGTCTCCTTCCTCCGAAGTCACACCCTGGGTGTCCCTGAAGGGTCAGCTTTTCTGTTGTGATCTGGGCACTTTGGGGTCCTAAGGGGCCACCCTCTGTGTGTCTCCCTGCAGTGATCTCGTCCACTCACAGACGAGTTTGGTTCAGAAGTGGCTTTATCACGTGGAATGAACGTATTTGCCAAGGAAAGAGCCCTTGTTAGGGCAGCTAATAAATTGTGTCTCTAAAGTTCACAAAAAGGTAGCATAGTTACCGTTTTCTATAGGAATATATTTTTAATTTTAATTTTTTGTGTGTGTGTGTGAGGAGCTTAGCTCTGAGCTAACATCCGATGCCAATCCTCCTTTTTTTTTTGCTGAGGAAGATTGGCCCTGGCTAACATCCGTGCCCATCTTCCTCCACTATATATGGGACGCTGCCACAACATGGCTTGACAAGCAGTGTGTCAGTGTGCGCCCAGGATCCGAACCTGCGAACCCCGGGCCGCTGAAGCAGAGCGCGTGCACTTAACCGCTACCCCACTGGGCTGGCCCCTTTAATTTTAATTTTTTAAATAAACTTTCAGCCCATCTCTTCAGTCAAGGCGTAGCCATGACATCCTGAAATTATATGAACAAAATGGCTTTGTTGTTTCTCTTTTTTTGCAGTAGAAGTTCTCTGTTTTTGAAGCAGAGACATAGCAGCAGCTGGCTGCTGTGTGATGGTGTGATGGGTCCCTGGGTGGATGGCTCGGCCTCCCGCAGAGCAGTGCCCGCTGCCTAGTGCCTCATGCCTCTCTCCCCGCAGGCGTCCTTTGGGAGTGCGAAGGGCTACCATGGCTGCAGCAAGAAGGCGCTGGTCTTCCTCTTCAAGTTTCTGTCAGACCTCGTGCCTTTTGAGGCACCCCGGTACATGCAGGTGAGAAGCTGACTGGGGCACCTTCAGTCCCCACTGTCTCACCCACCCCCAGGCATCCTACTTGATAACTTGGGATGTCAGTGTACAGCCAGGGAGAGATGTTTGTGGTGGTAAAATGCCCAGAAGCCAGCTGCCAGTCCATCCAAGGAGATGGTAAATCAGTGATAACATTGCTGAGCTGTGAGATAGTACCCAGCTCTTCAGAAGAACAAAGCAGTCTGTGTGCTGTCGCAGAAAGATGCTCTCAGCACCCAGTTATGTGGGAAGAGCACCTGTTGTGAATGGGAAGTGTTGTATGATCCTGTCTCTGTTTTTAAAAAATGAAATATTTTTATATTGAAGAAGAATCTGGAAGGGTGTACCCCCAAACTGCCACTGGCCATTACTTGTAGGAGTGGAAGACTTTACGTTCTAGTATAGAGTTTGCATTTTTAATAACAAGTCTGTATTAACCTTGTGATTAAAAAGCCTCACTGTATCTTTCTTTCTTTTTTTTTTGTTTTTTAAGATTTTATTTATTTATTTATTTTCCCGCCAAAGCCCCAGTAGATAGTTGTATGTCACAGCTGCACATCCTTCTAGGTGCTGTATGTGGGACACAGCCTCAGCATGACCAGAGAAGCGGTGCGTCGGTGCGCGCCCAGGATCCGAACCCGGGCCACCAGCAGCAGAGCGCGCGCACCCACCCGCCAAGCCACGGGGCCGGCCCTCTATGCTTTCTTTCTAAATCAGATCACTGTGCCCACCATTCGTTTTGGGGGTAGGACACTTGAAAACTGATTCTCGCCTTTTTAAATTAAGAAACTTGCGTTACATTCCAAAGAATGCATATGACTAATGTACCTATCCCTGGGTGAAGCCCAGAATGCTTGCTTTTACACCTTGGGGGCCCTCCCTCCCCACCCTGCCCTGCCTGTGTAACCCCTCGTCTTTCCTGACCACTGTGTTTGTGACCACAGCTGGTGGTCCTTTAAGATGGAAGGTGCCTGGGGCCGGCCCTGTGGCGTAGCGGTTAAGTGCTCCCGCTCCGCTGCTGGCGGCCCAGGTTCAGATCCTGGGCACGCACCGACACACCGCTTGTCAGGCCATGCTGTGGCGGCGTCCCACATGAAGTAGAGGAAGATGGGCACAGATGTTAGCTCAGGGCCAGTCTTCCTCTTAAAAAGAGGAGGATTGGCATGGATGTTAGCTCAGGGCTGGTCTTCCTCACCAAAAAAAAAAAAAGATGGAAGGTGCCTTGTGATTACAGGTGTGAACACTGCCCGTAGCACCAGGTGCCTCTGAGAGGAGGGCCAGGGGTGTGGTGGCCAAGGGGCTGCTCTGTGGCAGGACCCTGCCTGCCCTCTTCTGGGCCTGGCCCACTTCTGAAGGAATGTCCGAGGGTACTGTAGAGACCCTCACCCAGGATTCCATCTGTCCCACCTCCAGCTTTTGCCCTGGTGGTCTTTGGCTGATTTTTTGACTTTCCTGTCATCAGTACAAGTGTTTCCCCAAAAAGTTACAAGCAGTTCATGGGCTGATCTAATCCTTGTCTGCCGTTTGCCCACAGGTGCACATTCTCCACCCACCGCTGGTTCCCAGCAAGTACCGCTCCCTTCTCACGGACTACATCACGCTGGCCAAGACGAGGCTGGCCGACCTCAAGGCGAGTCCCAGCCACCCCTGCAAGCCTGCTTCCTCACCCTTTTCCCACAGAGGCCACCGTCTGTCTGGGCTCTCACGTTCTTGCTCATGTCTTCCCTGTAGGTTTCTATAGAAAACCTGGGGCTCTATGAGGATTTGTCTTCAGCCAGGGATGTCACAGAGGTAATGTCACCTCGGCGCTCCTGCCCCCTCAGGCCTCTCCCCCTGCTCACCAAGCACAGTCTCATTCCCTGTGACTGAGTTGGGCATTTGAGCCTTCTCTGTCTGGGAGCTGGTACATCTGGTGCAGCTGGAGGGTGACAGTTATCCTGCAGCTGTTTGTTCTGCAGTATTCCGTGCAGTTCAGAGCAGGAACAAGAAGAGTCACTATGTATAGGAAGGTTTGTCTTTTAGGAGATTTCCTTTCACGTGGGTTTGAATGGTACAGGTGGTCTGTAAAACAGTGTGTGGGGGGCGGGGGTCATGAGTTTCTAGGAATTACAGAAAAAGGTGTTAACTATATTTATGTAAACCAAATGTCTGATGGCCTTAATGGCATCTGTATGTATTTTTTTTAAGACCATTTTACTTAAAAGTTGTGAGTTGCTGGAGAGCCCTTAGAGATGCCATTAAAGTCTTAGGTGAATATTTAATGCAAATTTCCATGCAAGAGTTATTGCTCTTCATAAGTTGTCATTTCATAATTTTTTTAAATCTCAAAAATTAAGTCTCTGCTCCTTTCCACCTGAAAATCTTTCATTGGAACCCTGTATTCTCCTAGAGGGGCAGCAGAAAGGAGAGGCAGGAAGAATGCATGGATCTGGGATGGCAGCAGTGGCTTCCCAGAGGTGTGGAGTGGTCCCTGGTGGCCGCTCATTGCTAGGTCTGAGCAGCTAGGATTAGGAGTCTCTGTAATTGTTCCCTTGCTGTGTTGTGCATCAACCCTGAAATGGCAGAATTGTTGGAGTGTGGAGGAACAGGGTGATGGCACCCCTCTCTAGTGAAGGTTTTTTTTTTTAATCTTCTCTTCTTCTCCTGTCCTCCCCGTACAGAGCCAGCCCCACAGCCAAGCACCCCAGGATGTTGAGAAGGCCCTCCTGGTGTTTGAGCACACGGGGAAAATTCCCGTCGCTGTCTTGGAGGCCAGGTAGGGTCCTGCCGCCTGGCGTTGTCTCCTCATGTGTCCTCAGAGCCACAGCAAGCAGGGTGGTCATTGTGTACGTGGGGAGACTAGGGAGTCGGTGTAAATGTCCCATCGAGGGTCCTGCAGCTTGATGGTGTGGAGCCCTTGCTGTGAGATATATTTTCTTTAGAAAAGCATGCGGCACCTCAGAACAGCCAACAGGAAGTGTTGAGTAGAGACATGAGAGAACAGGCCCTCGGTCTAGTGACAAGGATTTTTTATTAATGCTTCATTGGTGACCAGCATGGAGCCAGTATAGGGAATTGAATAGCAAAATTCTGTTGAATGTAGTATGATCCCAAAACATCTTGAATTCTGGTTGCTGCCAGTGTAGGATAGCTTTCTTAAGGTTTGCTTCTGAGAAATGTGAACTGATTCCAGCTCCTGGGACTTCTAGATCAGCTGCAAGGAGAATGCCCACAATTGACCTGAAGCGATCTCATGGCCTTGGATGAACCTAGATTCCATGGCCACACCTGGGACAGAGCGTCATCCAGATTCCCTGGGATGCAGGGTTGTCACCAGCACAGACTGCCGTTTTCATGAAATGTCCCAAAACAGTGAAAAAGAAGACTTAAAAATGGGATATAATGTCATAGTTATGAAATGAGACAGCCCACATGGTCCTACTCTCTGCAGTGTGGAGACTGTCCATGGAAATGGGCATTTTTGTTGTATTCATGTAGGAATCCTAATGCCTATTTTCTGACCAAGTTTTTGATCCCTCTGAGCCTGCTCTTCTGTGTTGCAGCATATTCAGGAGGCCCTACTACCTGTCTCACTTTCTCCCTGCCCTGCTCACACCTCGAGTGGTCAGTATGCACCTTCACAAACTTGGGACCGAGTTGACAGAGACCAAGGATGTTGCTGTCTGGCGTCTCACTTGAACCCCGTCTCTCCTCTCATAGCTCCCAAGAGTCCCCGATACCCGAGTGGCTTTTATCGAGTCCCTGAAGAGGTATGCAAGGACATTTCTGTTTCTAGTGGGGTTTCTGACAATGCAAAGAATTGTGGTTCTTTTGTAGAGAAATGTGTTTTATCATGTGTGTCTTATTTATAAACTGTTGGCTCAAAGTTAGTTAAGATTTTAAAAAGAAAATTTCTTTGATTCTGAATATCTCCAGTTAGCATCATTTTTCAATGAACTTCTAGGATGATTGGTCTGGGAATTACAATAGTTTTATTGGTACATAATCATTGTGAAAGGAGGAGAATTTAAGCAAAGAAAGAGAGGAAAAGAGAGACATGGGAAAGCCTCACGCTCAGAAGACTCAGAGACTCTTGTGTAGAAGTGGATCTCAGCCCCAGCCCCATCCAGGGCCTCCAGGAGCAGGGAGTTGGTTGGTTTCCCGAAGGGCATCCTTCTTGGGAGAAACAGAAAACTGTAATCCTGTTTTCCGGAGAAGCTGTTATAAAGTGATAGGACCTATAAGGAGATTGAAAAAAGAAAGCCTAGAAAGTAAAAATATATTTTTTCGTCTTACAATAAGACCATTCTCTGGGATCCTTATTTATTTTTGATATAAAATATTCCAAAAGTACAGAGACCAACTAAGAAAACACCCATATGCCCCACCCACATTAATATTTTGCTGTCTTTCCTTTTTTTGTTGTTCAAAATAAAATAGTTCAGGGCCGGCCCCGTGGCTTAGTGGTTAAGTGCGTGCGCTCCGCTGCCGGCGGCCCGGGTTCGGATCCCGGGTGCGCACCGAGGCACCGCTCCTCCAGCCATGCTGAGGCCGCGTCCCACATACAGCAACTAGAAGGATGTGCAGCTATGACAGACAACTATGTACTGGGGCTTTGGGGGAAAAATAAATAAATAAAATCTTTAAAAAATAAAATAAAATAAAATAAAATAAAATAGTTCAGATCAGATGAAGCCTCTCAGTCTAGCTCTCTGACCCCCTCCTGTTTTTTCCTCTCCAAGGCAGCCATTGTCCTGAAGTCGGTGTCTAATTTTTCCTCTATTTTTTATTCTTTTGTTATATTTATTTATAGTTATAAATTATGTATGTATACACACATCACACAGTATGGTTTTGTGTTTTTAAAGTGGAGTCAATACAGTGTGTGTCATTTTGCCATTTGCGTTTTCACTCACCCTGGTGGTCTGTTGGTTTACCTGCCGTGTACGACTCTGCTGTATGGCTGTGGATGGCTGTGTTGCAGACTACAGAATAGATACAGTAGGACTACGTGACTGCAGGCACTGATTTATTCTTCCCCTGTAATTGGGCTCTTACCAGAGTTCTGATTTATGCTCTTTTAACCGTGCTTCAGTGAACATCCTTGGCATATCTCCATGAAACTTAGAATTTTGAGTGGAATTTCACTGATTTTACACATTAATCTGAGGATAGTTGATTCCGAGTTTTTCCTTCCATGAACGTAGCATATCGTTATTTATTCAAGTCTTTTCATAGTGTTTTGTGATTTTTCTTTGTAAAGATCTTGTAAATGTTTTGTTAGATTTATTACTAGGTACCTAGATTTTGTTGCTGTTGTGAACAGTGTATTGTTTTCTGTTGAGTTTTCTCATTGGTTGTATACTCTTATATCCAATAACTGCTGAACTGACTTCTCATTGTTGGTCAGTAGATTTTCTAGGTAGATAATCATGTTGTTAGCAGAACACAGTTTGTCTCTTCCTTCCAGTTTTTATACCTCTTAATTTTTGTTTTGTTGTATTGGCTAGGACTTTTAGTATAATACGGAATTGCAGGAGTAATAAACTGGCATCTTATCTTGTTCCTGACTAAAATAGGGATACTTCTAAAGTTTTACCATTAATTATATTTGCTCGTTTTATGTATATATACATTCTCTTTCCCATATTAAGAAAGTTCCCTCTATGTGAATTTTCGAAGGACATTTAGCGTGAATGATTGCTTTTTCTGCATCTCTTGAGATGACCATGCTGTTCTCCTGTACTCTGTCATGGGATAGATTACACTGATGGATTCTTTTCCACTGTCCTTGTGTTCCTAGAGTATCCCCTACTTGGTAATGATTTTATTTTATAAACTGCTGAATTTGGTTTACTGATATTTATCTAGGATTTTTGCATCTGTGTCTCTAATTCTCTCGTACTCATTTGGCTGCTTTGGCATCAAGGTTTCGGTCCCTTGTGAAATGAGTTGGGTAGCCTTCCCTCTTTCTTGTCCTCTGAAGAGTTTGTGCAACACAGGGATTGTGTATACTTAAGGTTTGGTAGAACTCAGCTGTGAAATCACATGTTCCTAGTGTCTTTTGTGGAGGCAGAGTTGGCTACTGACTCAGTTTCTTGAATGGTTATTGGTTTAGTCTGGATTTTTATTCCTCTTGAGTAGTTATTATATTTCTAGAAAATTGTCCATTTCATCTAAGTTTTCAGATTTATTGACATAGCATTGTTCATCCTATTCTGTTGTGACTTTAAAAAAATCTGTCTACCTCATCTATACTTTTCATTCCTTTTTTTTTCATTCCTGGTAGTGTCAATTTCACCTTGTTTCCTTTGGTTCACTTGGTAAAGGTTTGTCTGGTTTATTAATTTTATTACATAACCACTGTTTGGCCTCCTCCTGGTTTTTTTAATCTTCTATTCATTAATTTTAGATTTTAACTTTATTTCCTTCTTTTTATTTGAGGTTACTCTCTTGTTCTTTTTATTTCTTAAACTGATTGTTTAACCTCCTACCTTATAGACGTTTCGACGTATAGTTCTTACATTGTCATTCTGTGTTAAATATTCTACCATTTTTGTTATGATTTTCTTGTAATTTGGAAGTTTGCTATCAGTGAATTTTAAAATTTTCCAAACATATAGGTGTTTGTCCCTGAGGTTTTATTGTTGATTTCTAATTTAATTATTTAATTATGTTATTATTATTATTATTTTTGGTGAGAAAGGTTAGCCTTGAACTAACATCTGTTGCCAATCTCTTCTTTTTGCTGAGCAAGATTGCCCCGGGCTAACGTCTGTGCCCATCTTCCTTTACTTTATATGTGGGACGCTGCCACAGCATGGCTTGATAAGCAGTGTGTGTGTCCGCGCCAAGGATCCAAACCGGCGAAACCCGGGCCGCCGAAGAGGAGGATGAGAACTTAACCACTACATCACTGGGCCGGCCCCTAATTACATTATTTTTAAAGAACATGATTTGGTTTTTACAGGTTTTTTTGTATTTATTGTGATTTACCTTTAGTGCATGCTCAGCGTTTGCAAGAATTCCAGGCATCGTTGAAAACAGTGCAGACCCTTTGATTTGGGGTGCAGAGTCTGTCTGTTACCTGTGCTTGTTCTCAAGTTTTCTGTGTCCTGACCAGCTGTCTGTCCCTGGTTTATCTGTTATTGTGGAGGAGGTAGTGCCTTTGTCTGTTTCTCCTTGTAATTCTGTCAGATTTATCTTTATGAATTTTGAAGGCTGCCTTGTTAGTTGCAAACAGATTCATGATTGTTAAAATATAGCCTTCAAAATACAGTCTTCTTGCTGGATATTGTTTTATTCATTATTATATAATGCCTCTATTAGGCCTTTTACCTTAATTTCTATTTCATCTGATATTTTTTTTGTTTTTTTTTAAATTTTATTTATTTATTTTTTTCCCCCAAAGCCCCAGTAGATAGTTGTACATCATAGTTGCACATCCTTCTAGTTGCTGTATGTGGGACGCGGCCTCAGCATGGCCGGACAAGCGGTGCGTCGGTGCACGCCCGGGATCCGAACCTGGGCTGCCAGCAGCAGAGCACACACACTTAACCGCTAAGCCACGGGGCCGGCCCGATTTCATCTGATATTAATGCCAGCTTGTATGTGTGTGTGTGTGTCGTATTTGCATGGTATAGCTTCTTCATTTCTTGACATATTTATTTCTAGTCTTTAAAAATAAATTTTTTTGAAGTTAAATATGGATGTAGATTAAAGAGTCAGATAGTTCCATAAAGTTTATTAAAAGAAACAGCCATCGCCCACCCCTCTCTGCCGCTTCTTTCTCTCTGGAGGCAACAGTTTTCAACTCTTAACTGATTTTTTGATATTTCTCTCCAAATCTGTAAATAACATTCTTGTTTTGCTAATTAACACTTTTTCTGTTTTCGGCAATATCATTTGGCTTTCCACTATGGAGAATAAAGACCTAGCTTTCTTTCCTCCACCAACACACATAGCTGTCCTTCATATAATAGTTTTTAAAAGCTCAATATTTACTGTTTGTTTTTTAAGGCTATATAAACACGATTCAGAGTTGACCATTATGAATCTTCTTTTCTTTTTGTATTCTCTGGAGTTCATAATTACCTTTGCTTTATCTTAGTTTTCCTTGTACATATCATGATTCAACTGCAAATTCTGCCAGTTGTCTAAATGTCATCTCATTCAGAATCATCAAGTATTCCAACAGTTACATCTTAGAGAAATCTCTTCTAGAGCTTTCTAACCTGCTGTGATCTGAATTGTTAGTTTTTTATGTCTAAACACAGATGTCATCTTAGTGTCTGCCTTCGACATCACTTGGGAATGTCTTTTGCTCTAGTTGTGCCGAATCTTCTCTCTTCTGTGTCCTAGATCATCCTCTTTCTTGATTTACTCTTTTGTTTTGGTGGAGCACATCCTATTGAAACTTCTTAAGAAAGGATGGATGCAGGGTAAATTTTTTTTTTTGACACTTATTCAGCCCTTACATTTGCTGGATAGTTTGCTGGGTATAGAAACCTAGGTTGGCAATTTTTTTTCCCATTTTTTTTTTTGTTGATGTCATAATAGTTTATAACATTGTGAAATTTTAGTCGTACATTATTGTTTTTCAGTCACCATATAAATGCCTCCCTTCACCCCTGTGCCGACCCCCCAACCCCCTTCCCCCTGGTAACTACCAAACTGTTCTCTCTGTCCATGCGTTAGTTTATCTTCCATGTATGAGTGAAATCATGTGGTGTTTGTCTTTCTGTCTGGTTTATTTCACTTAACATAATAC